CACATGGACATTGATGATGGTGGTGCTTAGAGTGGAGAAGGCTTTCGAACCAGGAAACTGAATTTCATGTGAGAGATGACCAGAAATTTAGTAGATGGCTGGGACAAGAATAAACTAGCCAGAAGTCATGAACCTCAAACGAGGAAGCATTTTCTTCTTCACGGGAGTGATGATGTTGGAAGTGGTAGTGGGGAGCTGAAAGAAGACTGTAGCCTTTTCTGCTCAAATAGTGGAGTGTGGAAAAATGAGCATCGTCAACTTTGGAAAAAGTGTTTCAGAAGTGTTGTCCTTCAGGAGGACTAAGATGTAATTAAGCTAGAGAGATGAAGACAGCATTCTGTGAAGAGCTAAAATGTGTGTGTGTGCGTGCCCACACATGTGCACACAGGAAAGAAGGGTGAATTTTTTTTTTATTTTTTATAATGGGAATTCTGCAGGCCTCAATGAAGAGGATTGGGAGGGAGGAGAACAGCCTGAGGATGGTATGCTGTGAACAAAAGAAACACAGAGAAAAAAATCAGGAGGAACTTTATTTTGGACAGTTGCCAGTTATGGCAATGGTGAGCAGCACAGACATCTGAATGATACTTTGGAGTAGTTTTTAGGTGGCACAGGCTGCACCCCAGTTGGTGTTGGAGGCCTCACGGGGCTAATACTCTGCAGCCTTTGCTTAGAGTTGGGCAACAGGATTAGTTAAGTCCCAGGATTTCTTACCATTAGTAGAAAAAATAAGATCTCTGCTCTTCCCCCATCCTTGATCAGTCTGTGTCCCTGATTTATTTTTTCAACTTCCTACATTAAATTTTTTGAGGCCTTGTCTATCAGCCACCATATATTAAATCTGAATTAAAATACCTTGTGAAGGTTATTGATTACTATACAGATATGACCTTCATGCCAAAATTTGTGTTAAAGGAAATTTTTCAACAGAACAGTTTGGTTAAAGTGAATATTACCAAATCAAGTTTTCTAGTTTTGGAAACTTGGTGATTTTATGATTTTATAGCTCTTTAGGTTGTTCAAGCTAATCCTCCATTTTACCCATTTCAGTTATTGACCATTCACATTATATGTACATACATTTTATGTACTGGTTTTTCCCTATCTCAAATATAGAAGAGTTGGAAAAATACTCTGAAAATAAGGAGAAAAAAATATATAGGATGAAAACTCTAGAAATACAGGAATAGTTGGCTGAAGATGAATTAGAAATGTAAAAAACCATTTAGGGCTTCCCCGGTAGCGCAGTGGTTGAGAGTCCGCCTGCTGATGCAGGGCACACGGGTTCATGCCCCAGTCCGGGAAGATCCCACATGCCGCGGAGCGGCTGGGCCCGTGAGCCATGGCCACTGAGCCTGCGTGTCCGGAGTCTGTGCTCTGCAACGGGAGAGGCCACAACAGTGAGAGGCCCGCGTACCGCAAAACAAAAACAAAAACAACCATTTAAAACCTGAACTTAAATGGAAATGCTTTAAAGTACCTTAGGAGTTGATGGTAGTAGTTGAGAATATTAATTTTTGATGAAAAAAATTTAACCCTCTATTGACCAACAGGGTCAGTAATTAATTTCCTATTAGGCCAAATTCTATTTGGTTAGTTTTCTTTTGCTTAGTTAGATCACCTGCTATGGCTCCTTTCTCCAGCTGCCAAAGAGCACAATGCCTTTTTGCCTCTTATTTTCTTATTTACTGATATATTAAAACATTCTTTTGAAACTCTCTATTCTCCACTATCAGTGTTGTGTTGTTAGAACAACCGTTTTTCGTCTACTTTTACCTATGGTGGCATTTCTTCACCCCTCAACCTGTACCCATTCCTTAAAAAGTATACCAACTGGTGTTGAAATTTAAAAGTATGCCTTGAATTGAAAAAGAAGTAGAAAACATAGGTCTGGAGGCAGTTTATACTTTTTTTCCCCAGATGAATAAAGACATTCTGACTCTTGGTTAAAGAGGAGCAATAATAGCTCAGTGTGACTTGCAGTGGGGCATTCGCAATGTGCATGAAAACATGCAGTACCACAGGCGACTGGCTGAGTGGGGCAGAGAGAGATTGTCTCCCAGATGGGTTTTTAGGAAGTTCTGTATTTTGAACAGAATTCACCTGTTAGTTGACTTATGTTTTTGATTATTAGGAAGTATGCATAATCTAGAATGCAACATTTTAAACAGTATCTTTTTTCCTAAGTAGAGGAAAAATTCTCTTGGCCTGATGAGAAAAATATGACCCCATCTTGATCTCAGAAATTTGTATTTAAGAGATATTTAAACTTTTCATTTTCATGATGTCCCAGAAGTAACTTTTATTTAGTAATTGTTAAATTTTGTAGGTTTTTTTTTTTTTTTTTTTTTTTTTTTGCTGTATGCGGGCCTCTCCCGTTGCGGAGCACAGGCTCCGGATGCGCAGGCTCCGGACGCGCAGGCTCAGCAGCCATGGCTCACGGGCCTAGCCGCTCCACGGCATGTGGGATCTTCCCGGACCAGGGCACGAACCCGTGTCCCCTGCATGGGCAGGCGGACTCTCAACCTACATTTTGTAGTTTTTAAACAATTGGTTTACTGTTAGGGGCAAATTTGGTTATAGCATATAGTATGATGGTTTGTTTAATCTTTGGTTGGAGAAGAACATACGTTAAGAAAGGTTTTTATTTTTTTGGAATCTGACATATTTGGGGGAACAAAATGTATTTTAATGTCTTATTCTAGATGCAGTAAAAAGTAATGGGAATAGATGTGTTCTAAAGAAGGGGGGGAAATGCAAGTTCAAGTTTTGTTTTACTAAGTATCAAAAAAGATGAAAGCAACAGGGATTGATGATTTCAAAGTCTTTTAGAAATGGTTGATATCCCTCTGCCTTAGTTCTTATCTCACTTATAAGAACTGAGTTCTTCCTAACTTTTTTTCCTCCTATGAGAATGTGGTTATTTACTCTTCTTAGGTAATTGATGTAATTCTAACCCAGCCCCCTGTTTTTAGTTTTTTTAAGTTGTACTGTGAAGAAACAGTTTGTCCTATACTTTTCCAGTCTTCTGCATAATAATTGATGATCCCAGTGATGGCCCTGAAGCATCAAGAAAATAGTATGTACTGTATGCCCAAATATAAAGTGACTTTTTTCTTTAAAAATTTTATTTCAGAAAAGAGAGATCTGCCTTACATTTGAGTCTATAGGTAGACTAAATTCTTACTATAAATTTCTCTCTTGCTTTCTTTTTTTTAAATATATATATATATTTATTTATTTGGCCGAGTTGGGTCTTTGTTGCTGGGCGCCGGCTTTCTTTAGTTGCAGTGAGTGGGGGCTACTCTTTGTTACGGTGCGTGGGCTTCTTGTTGCGGAGCACGGGCTCTAGGCGTGCGGGCTTCAGTAGCTGTTGCTCGCAGGCTCTAGAGCGCAGGCTCAGTAGTTGTGGCTCACAGGCTTAGCTGCTCTGGGGCATGTGGGATCTTCCCGGACTAGGGCTCAAACCCGTGTCCCCTTCATTGGCAGGGAGATTCTTAACCACTGCACCACCAGGGAAGCCCTCTTGCTTTCTTTATTTTTAAAAGCAAAGTACTGTTTGGTAAAGGGCCTAAAACTACTTCAATCCAAGCTGATTTTGAATGTATAAAGAGGTCATTTGTTGGATTCAGTAAAGGAGGAATAAAAAATTTTAACAGATATGTAGTAACTTTTCCTAGGTATATGACCTCAAAATTGTGGTAGATACCATTGAAAATGGACCTTCACGTTTTCCATTCCATTTAACAAATATCAGTTTAAATTCAATATTTTAAATCTCATTTCATTTAAACAGCAAAGTATTTTCAATTATAGTGAAGACAAAAATCATTGTACTATTTTTTGTTGAAAATTCCCAGTATATGAAGAAGATAATAATGTTTAAAGACAATAATGTTTAAAGAGAATGGTAATACAGTCATGAGAAATGAATCACAGGCGTGAGAGAAAACTATTGATTTTAACATTATAAGTAAGAATAAGTGACTGGATTATTCAATGACAATGGATTTAGAGCTTTAGGTTGAAATCAGTTTGTCTGTTTTTTCATCTAGCGTTTCTTATTATGATTAAATTCTTATGAATAGAAAAAAGCAAATATCAGTTTAAAACAATACAGTTGGTAATTACTTGTGGAAATCGTAAATATATGCTACAGGAGTAAAAAGGCCAACTCTTTCAGTAGTTAGACAAATGGAAATTGTGGCTTAGGATAAATTTGCAGTGATAGAATTGAATATGTATTTAAAAAGTGCTGTATCTCAAACAACTTAAATGGGAGTGAGGATGATTTGCTTTTGAAAAGTATGTTAGATGACTCAAAAAATGAATCCAGTGATAAGGAATACACTGATGTCAAAAATTTGTGTAAAGATTTTGAATGAAAGTATTTTATGAAACATGAAGGTAAGAGAAAAAGCAGTATTTCAAAATTATCGTGATTTATTAATGTTATTTCAAATTTATATGTGCATCTGAATTAATTTAAATTCCATCAATAAGCATTTGGCTGTTTTAATCTATATCCCTAGAAGTTTCTATTCAAGTTGGCTAGCAGGCATTGTTTTATATATTTTTAATAGGAAGTTGTTAGATCACCTTATATTTGGGATTTCTTTCTATTCATGCCTATGTGGTATTAAGTTATATTTATTGTACTTCATTTAAGATGAAGAGTGTATGTTTTGAGAATTCTACCAAAAAATGTTTTTGCTTAAAGAAAAAAGCTTTAGTTATCCTGAAAGAACTTTTAATTTTGTGAGACAGTTTATTTCTCCAATAATTCTTCTGTTATTATATATAGATTATTAAAAAGGAAGTATAGTTTGATTACTCTTTTTTTAAAAAAAGCTTTAAAAAAATTAATACCCCATCCAGTAAATGAAGAAGCAAAACTTCAGCTTTTCAGTTTTTACTCTTATTTACCTAGATCCATTGATTAGTTTTTATGTTAATATATTAATAGTGATTTATTTTTTATTAATTAAAAAAAATTGCAGCTGTCCCTTTCCCCCCAACGCATCGCTTGACATCTGAAGAAGTTTTTGATATGGATGGGATACCCAGGGTTGATGTTTTGAAGAACCACTTAGTAAAAGAAGGTCGGGTAGATGAAGAAATTGCACTTAGAATTATCAATGAGGGTGCTGCCATTCTTCGGAGAGAGAAAACCATGATAGAAGTAGAGGCTCCAATTACAGGTACACTTATTTATGTTTTGGATATTATTTTTTTTACTGCACCATTATTTACTTACCTAAATATAAAGCTGTTTCTTCTTCATTCATATTGTATACTAAATTAATATTACATGGACATTATCTTGAATTTCCAGATTATTTTCTTTTTAAAGTTTTTGCCTGTTCTCAATGAATAAACATGATCCTAAATAATCTGAGTGCAGAAGTTAGTCTAGTATGCTTTTGTGAAGGTTTCATTAGTTGTGTTGGCCATCACTGAATTTGATTCAACAAATACTTATTTACTTTGTTTTCAGTCATTAGGGGCAAATACCTCAATGCTGTATCAGATACCAAAAGTGATCATTTACAGGTCAACAGAAAGTATGGAGTTAGAATGGAGATTTTACTGCCACCATTATAATTTTGTCATCCTAAGACATGCATGCTTGGCTTCCTAAAGAGGAGCTTTATAAAGTTAGATGAATTTTGTCACTGACTACAAATTTCATTACTTTTGTTATATCTCGTTCTAGATCTTGAGCACATGAACACTTGTATACACATCATCCCTATCATGACTCCTCATAGATTACTTCCTTCTTAGACCTTTCTTGATAGAATTTTACACTATCTCTTATGTAAAATAAATTAGAATTTAAGTAAAATTTGTTATTTCAGAGTTTTTTTTTCATATCTAATAATCTTCTTGTTTCAGTGTGTGGTGACATCCATGGCCAATTTTTTGATCTGATGAAACTTTTTGAAGTAGGAGGATCACCTGCTAATACACGATACCTTTTTCTTGGTGATTATGTGGACAGAGGTTATTTTAGTATAGAGGTAATAATCATATACTGTCATTTGATTTGCTTTTAAGTGTTATCATAGATGATTTCCATTAATTCCTAATAAAATAAGTTCCTTAAATTACCTGTATTGGGTTCTTTTTAATACCTCTGCATATTCTAAAGTTTTTAGTAAAGTTACTATTTATTCCTCTTCTGTCTTTCAAACTATTCTTTTAATTTTCTTTGTGCCACTCTTAATGTAATTATAATTGCCATTTTTCCCAGTGGAAATTGTAAGCAAACTAAGGGGTCTTTATTGCCCTGTTATCTAGTGGCCCTAAGGAGCTAATGCTGTTTATCTCTCTTGCCCTTAAAGGCATTCACCCATGCAGAAAAAGATTAATTGTATTTTTTCCGATTAAATAAAATATATTACAGTGCGTTTATTCCTCAAACTCTAGTACTTCTATCCCTCCTTCCATAGCAATTAAAACCCAAATATATCATATAGAATCTTTATGCATCCTGAAAGTATTTGTTTTAAAAAACTTGAGACATTAAAGTGACCTGTTGATTATCACTTAGCAGTAGATGGTTCTTTTTGCTCCTTTTACTTTTCTAATTATATAAATTAAAATAAGATATAAATATAGAACAATTTGTATTTTCTAATATATGCATCTCTTTCTTTCCTTTTTTGAAATGAAAATGGAACCCTATTATAAGGTTCTGTAACTTCCTTTTTTCATAAATCCCTATGCTGTGATGTCATTCCAGGTAAATAATTATAAATTTATAGCATCATTTTTAATAGCTGCATTGTATTCCATCGACTAAACAAGTCACAGTCAATTTAATCAGCTTCTTATTAGGCATATAAGGTGTTCCCAGTTTTTTGCCATTATAGGTGATGCTTCTGTGAGCCATATTATTTATACATCTTTATATACTTTATATATATATATTTATACATCTTTATATACTTGCCCAATTATTTCTACAGGACAGATTCTTACAGGTAAAATTGTTGGGTAGAAGCTCTACAAATAGATAGGTGTGTTAGCATTAATGTGTTTCAAGCATATTCTAAGCACTTAATACACATTGATTAATCTTTACAACAAAGTTATGAGGTAAGTACTATTATTTTATCCATTTTATAGAGGAGTCTGAGGCTTGGAGAGGTTAAATAACTTGCCCATGGTCATATTGTTAGTAAATGGTGGAGCTAGGCAGTTTGACTCTAAGCCTGTGCTCTTAACCATCTCCCCCACTAGATACTGAAGCTTTACCTGGTGAATTTCCATGCCGATTACTGTTGTTTAATTCTCCTCCAGTGTTTTCAACCTCCTTTCTGAGGTATGCTAGGATCCTTAGTGGGGAAGAGAGCTCAGGGCTCTGTCCACCCAAATTCCCTTGGGAATTTTATTATCCTTAGTTGTTCCTCTTTCCATTCATAGTTTCATCATCAGCCTCCTCAAACTTCCCTGGAGCCTTCAAGAAAACTAGAAAATTGCTCTCCTTAATATAAAGATTGGGGGCTTTTTTATTTTAAATTCTATTCTGATTGGGGGCTTTGACAAAAACAATAAAATAAAAAATTTTAGGAAGCTTAGTTGGTACCTGAGCATGTTGGTATGTATGTCTTTGTATTAAAGGGTTTAGTAGCTGACTGTTAAAATATTTTATTGTTATAAAAGGAAAATAATAAAGAATCAGAATAAGGAAAAAGGGCAGGTGTTTAATAAGTATTTCCCCAGTTTAATTATTTTTTTCTTGTGAATAAAATGAAGATGTGAATAGTTACACATTTCATATACCTTAACTTGTTTAAAATAAAGTTTGTGGGAATTCCCTGGTAGTCCAGTGGTTAGGACTCTGCGATTTCACTGCCAAGGGTCCGGGCTCTATCCCTGGTTAGGGAAATAAGATTCCGTAAGCAGCGCGGCCAAAAAAATAAATAAATGAAGTTTGTTTTTTCTTTTTGTATATGATTATGTAAACCAAGCTTATTTACATATGAAATAGTCTTTCCTTTTTTTTTTTAACCAAATAAGTAAAATGTGAGTCTGTTTCTTTTTTTATTTTTTTAATTTTATTTTTTTAACATCTTTATTGGAGTATAATACAATGGTGTGTTAGTTTCTGCTTTATAACAAAGTGAATCAGCTATACTTAGACATATAACCCCATATCTCCTCCCTCTTGCGTCTCCCTCCCACCCTCCCTATCTCACCCCTCTAGGTGGTCACAAAGCACTGAGCTCCCTGTGCTATGCAGCTGCTTCCCACTAGCTAGCTCTTCTACATTTGGTAGTATATATAAGTCCATGCCACTCTCTCACTTTGTCCCAGCTTACCCTTCCCCCTCCCTGTGTTCTTAAGTCCATTCTCTATGTCTGCATCTTTATTCCTGTCCAGCCCCTAGGTTCTTCAGAAACATTTTTTTTTTTTAGATTCCATGTATATGTGTTAGCATACGGTATTTGTTTTTATCTTTCTGACTGACTTCACTCCATGACAGACTCTGGGTCCATCCACCTCACTACAAATAACTCAATTTCGTTTCTTTTTATGGCTGAGTAATATTCCATTGTATATATGTGCCATATCTTCTTTATCCATTCATCTTTTGGTGGACACTTAGGTTGCTTCCATGTCCCTTCTATTGTAAATAGAGCTGCAGTGAACATTGTGGTGCATGACTCTTTTTGAATCATGGTTTTCTCAGGGTATATGCCCAGTAGTGGGATTGAGTCTGTTTCTTATGTTAGGTGTATTTAGGGAAAAATAGTTGCTGTACTGTTTTAATATTCTTTTTATTAAGAAATTACATTATCTTTGAATCATTTCACATAATAAGCACCTACATTATATAAGGCAACATTCATAACCAACAATGTAAATATAAAGCATGGTTATTCTCTTCATTAGGCAGCATGGCATAATGTTTAAGATCAGAGGATCAGAATCCTATCTCCATTACTTAGAGGTTTTGTGATTTCGGACAAGTTACTTAAGCTCTTTGCTTCAGTTTCCTCATTTGTAAAATAGAGATAATATTATATACTTCGTAGGGTTGTTTGAGGAATAAAGGAGGGGAATTAATTATATAGTGCTTGGCACATTATGAGTACTCAATGTTAGCTGCTATTATTTTTGACATTGTTATTGTTTTATTTATTGGTATACCTAAGGAGGAGCCCAATCTGCTAATTGTTTTTACAGCAAACAATTTGTAAATCTAAAGTAATTAAATTATTTGACTCATTCATTCAACAGATATTTATTGCTCTTCTACTATTTGCTAGCTGCTTTTCTAAGAGTGGAGAATCAGAAGTGAATAAGATGACAAAGTCCCTAATTTCATGGAGCTTATGTTTTAGTAAGGGACAAAGAGAAAAAGATAATAAAAAAGATAATGAAGAGTGATAGAGATTGTAAGGGTAATAGGGTTAGAAGAAAAGAAGCAAAGATCAAACAGCTTAGTTAAACAAAAATATAAGATTAATTCACTGGAAACATTTTCTTTTGTAGTGTGTCTTATATTTATGGGTCCTGAAGATTCTATACCCAAGCACATTATTTCTTCTGAGAGGCAACCATGAATGCAGACACCTTACTGAATATTTTACCTTTAAGCAGGAATGTGAGTACTGCCATGAGAAATATTTTCACTTCCTCAGTATTCTTTTGGAGTGATGTTGGTAGTAAGAGTTTGAAGATTTTTACAGTGCAACATGTAAGAACAGATTTTGTGTCCAAATGTGTCAAGCTTTGAGGAAGATTGTCTAGTGATCTCTAGTGTTTAATTTTATTCAGATGTTTTCATTTCAGTATTTCCTATTAAGTTTGATTTTTACATATGTACCTAGGAACAGTTTTGAGCTCTGTATGTAGTTTTAATGTTAGAATTATTTTTTCTAACAGGATGAATATAAACCAAAAGAAAAGAAATGTTGCGTTGGAGATTTCTCTCCATCAATATTGAGGCGTTCCCATGAAAATTCTTAGCAAATTAATCATCCTGTCATCATTGCAGATTGTTTTACTTATTTTTTAATTATGCAGATTGTTTTAAACACACTATTAATGAATGGAAGGTCGTAACCTACAATGTTTACCCCATTTCTCTCTTAAATTATTATGGCTGTGGTAATCTAATAGCTATAAGCAACCATATGGTATGGAGCAGTGTTTGACCTTTTTTCGCACCTCATAGCTGTGTACTTGTTAATATTCATGGCTGTATTAAGTCTTAGAGTTAAGATTTAAAATTAGAAATAACTTCAGAATTATTGAGGCTCAAAACATGATTCAATAAAGATCGATATAGTGATGGATAATGGCAGAGGTGGCAAGCTCATATAACTTCAAGGATCAGGTGGGTAACCTAAAGAATATAAGATGAGACCTGGAAAGTGCATGCTTGACCTAAAAGCAATCAAATTAAAATTTTTATTAAACCACAGTGTTGGAAAACAGATCTGTCAGCAGACTATCAGTTTATAACCTCTGCTTGCTGGATATAGATTTTCTCATATTTGAATGTTACAATATTAAAAAGTGAAGTAGGAACTAAGTTCTTTTTTTCCCTTAGATAAGGAACAAACGGTCCGCCAAAATCCCACCCAAAACATAAAATATCCAGGAATTTAAAAGTATAAAGGAGCAAGGGAATGTGTATGATATCTACTTAAAAGTAGATGAGAGTTTAGTTTGGTAGAGTCTTTCTTGTGTTATATTGGCTTCTTGCTTCACTGCCCATTTTAAGTGTTCATTGTAGGCTAAAGGAAAGCCTCTGCTCCTGCAACATATGAATAAAATCTTTTTTTTAATTGGATGGACCTTGAGTTTTGTTGTGGTGATATAGTAGTCTTGCCTATAACAACAAAGTAGTCACTGACTCTTAGAATAAAATAAAGTATTAACACTATTTTAACTTTTAGTTCTAATTTTGCCTTTCTTGGCCTATAAAGGTTTAACTATTTTTAGAGATTTGACTTATTTATTTTTAGTAACATTTTATGACTATCTGCTGCATACACAAAATAAATTTAGAGAGAGCACATATTTTGTCTTCACAAGATCAATAACATTGCTTATCCTTCTTGATTCGATGGGGCAAGATGCTGGCCTTTTTAAAAAAAATTTTTTTACGCAGTAAAATTTACTCTTTGTGGTGTTTAGTTCTGAGTTTTGACAAATGAATAGAGCTGCCTACCACTACAGTCATGATACAGAAAAGTTTCATTGTCCCTTAAATTTCTCCTTGCTGCCTTTTTAAACTCACCCCTTTACCCAGTCGGAAACCCTGGCTGCCACTTGGCTGTTTCCCGTATCTTTAATTTTCTTGCCTTGGTTTTAATAGTCATGTGTATACACACACACATGTTTTCAAAATGATCAACAAGTTATGCAGTTTTCAATTATTGAATTTTTTTCTTTTTCTAGGTAAAATTAAATATTCAGAAAGAGTCTATGAAGCTTGTATGGAAGCTTTTGATAGCCTGCCTCTTGCTGCACTTTTAAACCAACAATTTCTTTGCGTTCATGGTGGACTTTCACCAGAAATACACACACTGGATGATATTAGGAGAGTGAGTATATATTTTAGTTCCAAGAGTTGATTCCTATTTATAGTATTTTGTTGGGTAGAGACTAGAAGCTTCAAACCTCTCTTCACTGCCAAGATTAGGTAATGGTAAAAATTAATACACTGATATTTTATGGAAATATCTTCTAACCATTCAGAACAATGTAGTATGGACAGTATTCAAAGTTGGTACCACTTTCCTATGCCCATTCCATTCTCACTTTTTGACAAGTTATTTCTGTTCTTTGTTTCTTTTCTTCTTTCACAGTTAGATAGATTCAAAGAGCCACCTGCATTTGGACCAATGTGTGACTTGCTATGGTCTGATCCTTCTGAAGATTTTGGAAATGAAAAATCACAGGAACATTTTAGTCACAATACAGTTCGAGGATGTTCTTATTTTTATAAGTAAGGAAAAAAATCCAAGTTTAATCACATTGTAGTTGTTGAAATGGCATATGCTACATATAGAAAGTCATTATTTTACTTAATTTACTCTTTTTCCCCACAGCTATCCAGCAGTGTGTGAATTTTTGCAAAACAATAATTTGTTATCGATTATTAGAGCTCATGAAGCTCAAGATGCAGGGTAAGAATTCTGTTTCCCTGACCCAAATTAACACCTTATGTACAAATCAAACTTAGTAACCATGATTGATGCTTTACGATGCATATTAAGCTATTTGTTTTGCAGCTATAGAATGTACAGAAAAAGTCAAACTACAGGGTTCCCTTCATTAATAACAATTTTTTCGGCACCTAATTACTTAGATGTCTACAATAATAAAGGTAAGATGTTGTTGATAAAAAAATTGTTAAACAACTTAATATATAAATTGACTTATTTTTTTGAAAATATAATAGAAAAGGGGTATTGTTTGAAACTGTAACTATCCAAATCTTATTATAAAAAAGTATAAGATATAAGGGAGGGGAGAGGGCAAGAAATAAAAATCCAAAATGTGAAACTTAAGTCATATGTAACCAGTCCACAACTTGTCATTCACAAAAGCTGCCTTGTGAAAGAATGTTCTGAGGTAACTACGTCAAGCAAAAATAAACATGATTTTCTCAAACTCCCCTTTCTTAAATCTTCCCCCTTATAGTCAAGAGAATGTTTTCTTGTTTGCATAAAGCTGCTGTTGCTGCTTTGACCATTTCATGTATTTGTACCGCATAGTTGTTTATCATGTCTCTTGTTTTATGTTCACTGATCTAGGTTTTCTTTCCCTTTCTTATTCCCTACTTTTATCTCTACTGCCCCATGATGATTTGTAGTTGAGGCTTTGATTAAGTCAATCTGACCTCCTTTCTGGGATACATTCTTCCCTTTCCTTTCTTTTTACTGATCTTTCTTCCTTTTTTCTTACGTCTTTTTTTTTTTTTTTTTTTTTTTTTTGGTACGTGGGCCTCTCACTTTTGTGGCCTCTCCCGTTGCGGAGCACAGGCTCTGGACGCGCAGGCTCAGCGGCTGTGGCTCACGGGCCCAGCCGCTCTGCGGCATGTGGGATACTCCCGGACCGGGGCACGATCCCGTGTCCCCTGCATCGGCAGGCGGACTCTCAACCATTGAGCCACCAGGGAAGCCCTTTCTTACGTCTTTTTAATTTACCTGCTTTCTAGTGGTTCCTGTTCCCCCTCCTTCCCTCCAAATTTGCTCTGTCTGTAATAACTGGGTTTACTTTAACTTTGAACACAGTTTATTGAGAGATAATACCAAAGGATCTTACTCTAGTTAAGTGTGTGCCAGGGACACTGAAGATGAGCTTGAGTATGTTTACGTAGTTCACATTTTCAGAAGAGGAAATTAAGAAGCCAACTTCTATTCTGTCTTGACATGTCTGGAATTCAGTTGACTATGCCATAGTTTCCAGGGTCACACTGGAGTGGTTGTACCAGGAGGAAAGAACAGAAGGTTAAAGACTTTTAAAAGTACGTTTAGAGAAATAATGAGGTCGTTGCTAAATATGGGTTGTGGTGTGAGTTCAAAAGAGGAGTGGAATAAGAGTTTTTGGAAGAGTATAGATCATAGTTAAAAGATTAAAACATTTGCCAGAGATCAGACAGTAGCAAGCTGTATAATAACTTGGATACAGAGTATGCTACGAGAACTCCATACTGTATTAATTACCAAAACAACCATACCATTGACATTAACTGAGTTGGTAATCTTTAGAAGCTAGTATCATTGTAGCCTCCAAGGATTATGCCAGTGCTAAAATAGTCTTTTAAATTATATTTTGGTTTATAAATTTTGACGCTTCTATAAAGATACCTAATGAAGCATGGCTTCATTTTTGAAGAGGAACATATCTAAGTTTGGATGCCATCCTCAGAATTGATTTGTTACATTTAACTTTCTACCTGTAGCCTCCCCTTGTCAGTACTAAAGGAGCTAGTGTTCAGTGCTCTGTTGATTACTGACTTACTGGTTGTCCTTCGTCAGTTTAACTCAGGAGGTTAAGGGATCACTTTTCTTAGTACTCAGAAAAGAAACTCAAACCATTGAATCTGTCTTGTCAGAATCAAATGTCTCTTGGTAGTTCTGATCCTGTACATAGTGTTAATGACTTGAGTGCTTACATGGTATGGGATATGTTTGTAATGTTTCATTCCATCTGTAAGGCAATTTTCTAGATTCTTTCTCTCTCTTTTTTAAAGCCGAATGCTTGGTATCAGCCCTTAATTTCTGAGGCTAAATTTAAAATGTGTTTATTTCATGGGAATTTCATAAGGGAAACAAACATATTACTTTTGACTCTATATGAGCTAGAATCCCAAATCTTGGAATTTAACATCTACATTTCAGTGCTTTACATTAAAATGAAAAAAGAAAAGTAACCACATAATTATTATGGTATCTACAAAGCATTTTATACTTTTATGTACTTTCATGTGAAATACATTCTCTGACCTTAAACTTCTGAGGTAGGCAGGGTGAACATATTAGTCTTATTTTATAAATGAGAAACAGATTAGTTGATTTGCTAACTATTGCACAGCTAGTATATGCTGTAGCTTAGATTAGAATCTAGCCCATCTAGTCCAGTGTCCCATAAAATAATATAACTAGTGACTGAAATCTATGTCAGATTAATTTAAGGTATTGTTTATATCAACTTATGAAACATTAGAAAGATACCTGAAATTGAGAAGAGTATGTTACCTGTGGGTTATTTGGTTATAATATTTTCTCTTTCAGTATTTTAATGGAATTTTTTTCTATATGAAGTAAAATATTTTTTGTAGTAGTTTCATTTGATTTCTTATAATACATGAAATAAGTACATTCCTACATTCATAAATAAAATGTTCCAAATTTTTTTTCTTTTCTGTTTTTTTTTCCTTGCTTTATTTCCATTTAGCTGTCCTTTTCAGGTTGCCTGCAACTAAAAACACCCTCTTAAATTCTTCCAACTTGTATGAAATTTTAAACCTAGAAAATTGCTCATTGTTATTCTGTGTTTCCTCTAAAAACTGAGTTTTCACGATTTTGGATTTAGTAAAAGTGCATGTTTATCATTGGATTATAAAGTAAAATAAACATTCGAGAAAGACTGGGAATTTCATTAATAATGACAAGTGAAGATCTGACTATGCTCTACATAAAAGTGTGTTAAAAGCAGAAGTGTGTTACTACTAAAAATTCCTACCTCCCTCTACTAGCCCTCATTCTACTCATCCCTTGATTCCCCACCCCCTTAAAAAGATATTTTTCTGCTTATATGTGTTTTTAGACTTTTAGAGCTAAAGGCAAATTGTTACATTGACATTCAGACTTATCTTGCAGCTGCTGTATTAAAGTATGAAAATAATGTGATGAATATTCGACAGTTTAACTGTTCTCCACATCCTTACTGGTTGCCCAATTTTATGGATGTCTTCACATGGTCTTTACCATTTGTTGGAGAAAAAGGTATGATTTTTATTACTGTTATATTTGCTCCAGTGTACTATTGCAGGCATATACTACTTGCTAAAGGAAGCTGAAGTCTAATTTCACTGTGGCTACAGCTCTACTTGTGTCAGTGGGTGTGGATATGAGAGCCTCAAAGATATTTTAGTTAGCTGTTTACAGCCCCCATCTGAGGGTGTCTGGAGGACTGGGAGAAGACTTATAAATAGCCTGATGTTGTCTTCAGCTGTTGGGTTTTCTTTCTTTTTTTCTTTAGCTTAAATATTTTATGAAGGAATAGAGGAATAGCTTTGCTTTGGAATGGACACTTTTACATATTTTAACACCACTTTTGGGGATGTCATGGCAATTCATGGGAGAATTTAATTGCCCTCATTTGAGGCAATATTAGTCATTTTGTAGCAGTTCTGTACTCTCAAAAATGATAAAGAGAAATTCAGATTCTGACCTGATATTTCTTCTCTTATATAAAAAAATATGTATACAATTTTAGTGGTAATGCTTTTCTGATAATTTAGAGATTCCTATTACTATGTATTTAATAGGCTTTTTAAAAAAAATAAATGCTATTTAAGAGATTTTGTTTTTGTATTTTATTCTAGTTCTTTAGAGTTCCTAAGATTTCCTTACTTTATCACATTCTTCTTTTTCCATTTTAGTGTTAATTTTCCCACGAAGCAATACCTCGGTTTCCATACATGGAATATAAGAATATTAGAGTACAGACATGATTGTAAAACATTTTGTTCTATATCCCTCTCTATTTTTTCTCACCTCTTCTGTGTTACAGAATGTTCCTTTCTGTCTGAGATATGTTACTTCTGCCAAGGCAATTTTTCGTTCTGCAATTCAGAGTTAATACTTAAACTGTGTATGTTAAACAGGTTTTTTGCAGATTGCCTTTGGTCTTTGTCAGTTATTCCGTAGGTCAACATTAATAGGGGGATAGAATTACCCACTTTAGCATTTGAGAAGGGGGCCAGTAAAGGGCTTAGGTGCAAGGGATGCATTACACTTATAACCTTCTATCTTTGGTATATGAGAAATAGTTCAATGATAGCATCATCAGGCTAAAGGAAATTTAAGAATTCATCTTGCTCATTCTCCTGCCTCCAGGCTAGACTGCAACACAACTATTTTAATATAGTATAAGTGGGGTGGGGGGTGGGGAGAGCAGGGAAGATAAGGTAGGAGGAGAATGGATATTTCTAATTTGATTTTCTTATGCCTCCACAAAAAAGGAAATATTTCATTATATCTAATCTAAATGTTTATGCTATGAGTATTCAAACAAGGAGAGAGAAGATAATAGGTTTTCTCAACGAATGCACCTATCAAAAACCAGGACATCATAGAATTTTAGATCTCATAGTATACTTAACAATCATGTAGTCTAACACCTTTTGAGAAATGAGAAAATTTAATCTAGTTTCTGTGGCTCTCTCATAAGTGAAGAAGAACAGTGGAATTCAGTGATCCTACATTTGAAGTCTGCTACTAAGTGATCGTCTGTTCTTTTTTGCCACTCTAAGCCATCTTAGCTATTGTGAGGACGTATTCAAACCCTTTGACCATTTTTGTTGTTTTTCTGTGGATCTTCTCTAAATTATTCATATCTTTCTAAAAATGGGAATCTCAGATTTGAACATTATATGCAAATAGAATCCTAACCAATGTTGAGCACAGTAAGAAAATTTTCTCAAACTCTTTGCCTAGTTTTCCATTTTAATACATGCTAGCTGTTTAAATAGCCTAACTACTTCTTCATTCTAATGAAAATGTTCTTTTGGTGTGAAAAGCAGCAAATGGCACTTCATTTGATTCCACATCGAAAAAGCCAGTTTGACTCTGATCTAGTCCCTGGGAAGCAACTAACCTAACTAAGCCAGAGGCTTCCTTGGAGGCTGGTTTAATCCCAAAGTTAGATGAAAGTAGTGTTTTTTAGCCTTTTGGGGGCTTTTTATTTTATTTTTAAAAAATGTTATGTTGTAAAATTTCCAGCACGATACAAAGGTATAGCGAATAATATGAATTCCTATGTACCAATTACTCAGCTTCGACAATTATCAAATCATGGCCAATACTGTGTCATTTATATCGCCATCCACTACTTCCCATCCCACACCTCAATTATTTTGAATCAAATCTCAGCTGTTATTTTTTGTATCTATAAATATTTTAGAATGAATCTCAAAGATAAGGACTCTTAAAAAAATTAAAGTACACAAATACATTTATTAATTTCTTAATACCAAACCCTTTTGAGAATCTGGTGAAAGTTAGACTTTTCCTCCAGAAAATTTCATGTACGAAATATATGTACCATCTGTACGTATGTAACATTTTGAGGATGTTTACAGATCTGAAGTGGATTGGTAACCCCACTCAGGCTTATTGGCCCCAATTTAAGAACCTCTGTTTCAGAGAGTCCAGCATGGTGTGATCTTCCGTAGAAGGTCATACATGTAGGATTTGTTCATTTGCTAGATTTTTTTGGAAAGTCTGTTTTATTCAAGGTACTAAGGATACAAAAATACAAGTAAGATATTGGGTCTCTGCAGATTAATAGGGGACTAAATATACATAAGTAATGATAAAATGTAATATGGTAAGCGCTCCAAGACAAGCATAGTTTTATAGGAATTAACAAGACAGAGGAGATTATATCAGTCAGAGGGATTAAAGTAGCATTTGAACTGGGGCTTAAAGAATGGTGGAATTGTGCTGGTAGATCTGGGCAAGAGAATTCTAGGTGAGAGAACTTCCCAATCCTGAGTCTGAAAGGAAGAAAGCATAACGTCACTGACAAATGTTGAGGGGTTCAATTAGATTAGCAAGTAAGATGTATGAAGGACAGTAGTAGAAAAAGAATGAAAAGTTAAGTCAGGGTTAGATCAGGAGGATCTTGATCACTTAAACAGAGAATCTGGAACTTTGATAAATGGTGAGAAGCAACTGCAACAGAATATAATCATGATAGTCATTTAGAAAAATTACTCTGGTGAAGTGAACTGGAAGGAAGACTAGAGATTGGGAGACCTGTTGTGAAGCTTCATCAGGAGTCAAAATGGAAACAATGAAACCCTGTTAGCATTAGGAATGGAGAGCATGGGAGAACTGCAAGAACTGTAAAAGAATCAGTGAGACTTAACAAGATTGCATGTTTAAGAGGAGGGAATGGTTGAAAATGGCTTGGATGTGTTGAGTCTGGTAATGATAGTGCTATTAACACACTCTGATGAAACTTCTGTTATTCTAGCAACCCCTTACTTCAGTTATAGCTTCTCTTCATCTTCATTGGGATTGCTAGGCCTTTGAACGTGTTGTTTTCTTTTTTAGTCAGATCCCCCCTTGCCTCTCTTTCTTCTTAACACACCCCCAAACTCCTTTCTCTCGTTTTTCTACTTTGTTCTATGAATCTTAGCGCCAGTAAAGTCTAACTATCCATTTTTTCCATTCTTACAGTCAACATATAAAGCACTGTTGGAGATATTTATACAGCCTTATGATTTGGTACCACCCTTTGATTTCTAGCATTAGCTAGGCTCTCAGTAGTACCCAAACATCCTTTATATCACTAGTCTGCCTCCTCACTCATTTCCGTTAGGATATATTCCAAAATTTTATCTTTTTTACTTAAACATTTTCTTTTTCTAGCCACTTCTGTTACTCTCAGAGAGAACACGTACCATTAATGGGAGCTTTCTGTACTGACTGTTCCCCTGCTTTATAAATTGCAGTCTTTTTGTTTTTTTTGTCCATGCCACACCGCTTGCAGGGATCTTAGTTCCCCAACCAGGGATTGAACCCGGACCCTTGGCAGTGAAAGTGTGGAGTCCTAACCAATGGACTACCAGGGAATTCCCAATAAACTGCACTCATCTTGAATTCTTATCCTGCTGAAGATGTGACCCTTCTATCCAGGGCTAGCCTTTCTAACTTGTCCTTATATTTCATTACCCTTCTGCTTTTTCAGGAAAGTTACTGTATTATTTACATCTTCTGTATCTTCAAACTCTCTCTTCTAAGCTCTTTTGTAAATTGTTCAAATCTATATGATCTTTAAATAAAAAATAAATAACATTTCCTTTTTCTGATATCTTTCATTGACTACTACTGTGCTATGATTCTCTTGCCTTTCCTTCACAGCTAAGCTTCTAGATGGAAAGCACTACACACTTAAAAGCTACTATTTAGTATCCATAAATGACTCTGGTAACTTTCAGGATAAACCTTAGCCTGTCACATGTGGACTTTCCCTACTTTCTCTTCAGCCTCACTTTTTGTCTTTTTCTTTCGCGTCCTCTATGTTCCAGGTATGAAACAGCCCAGCCAACTTCCTTAATGTACTATATGCTGTTTAAGTTTCATGCCTTCTTACTTTTTCTTTATTTTTTCATAACAGCTTTATTGATGTATAATTCAAATATCATACACTTAACCTATTTACACTGTGTAATTCAGTGGTTTTTAGTATATTCAGAGATGTGCATCTGTCATCACAATCAGTTTTGAAACATTTTCACCATCCTCCCAAAGAAACCTTGTGTCCATTAGCATTCACTCCCCAGTTCCCCCCACATCTTCTTTCCAGCCCTGTGCAACCACTAATCTACTCACTATTTCCATAGTTTTCCTATTCTGGGTATTTCATGTAAATGGAATCATGCAATATGTAGTCTTTTGTGACTGGCTTCTTTCCATAATGTTTTCAAGGTTTATCCATGTTGTAGTATGAATCAGTACTTTATTCCTTTTTATGATCAAATAATATTCTATTGTGTGGATATACATTTTATTTATCCGTTCATCAGCTGATGGACATTTGGTTGTTTCCACTTTTTGACTACTATGAATAATGCTGCGATGAACATTCCTGTACAATATGGTTTCATTTTTCTTAGGTATGTAACTGGGAGTAAGCATTGCTGGGTCATATAACTCTATGTTTAACCTTTTGAGGATCTGTCAAACTGTTTTCCAAAGGAGCTATACCATTTTACAATCCTGCCAGCAGTGTATAATGTTTCCAGTTTTTCCATATCCTCGCCAACACTTGTTATTATGTATCTTTTTTTATTATAGCCATCATATTGGATATGAAATTGTATCTCATTTCCCTAATGAATAATGATGTTGAGTATATTTTTATGTGCTTATTCGACATTTGCATATCTTATTTGAAGAAATGTTTATTTCTAAATGGATTCATTTTTAAAAGGATTATTTGTCTTTTTACTATTGAGTTGTAAGAGTTATTTGTATATTATAGAGGCAAGTCCCTTATCAGATATACGATTTGCAAATGTTTTCTCCTGTTCTGTGACATTGTCTTTTCACTTTCTTGGTGATATTCTTTGAAGCACAAGAGTTTTTAATTTTGATGAAGTCCTCTTTATTTTTTCTTTTGTTGCTTGTGCTTTGGTGTCACATTTAAGAAACCATTGCCAAGCTCATGAAGATTTACTCCTATGTTTTCTTCTAAAAACTTTATAGTTTTAGCTCTTACTTTTAGGTCTTTGATCCTTTTTGACTTAATGTGTGTGTGTGTGTGTGTGTGTGTGTGTGTGTGTGTGTGTGCGCGCGTGCGTGTTGTGTGAAGTGGGGGTCCAACTTCATTCTTTTGTATGTGGATATCCAGTTGTCCTAGCACCATTTGTTAAAAAGACTATTCTTTCCCCAGTGAATTGTTTTGGCACCCTTGTTGAAAATCAGTTGACCTTAAATGTGAGGTTTTATTTCTGGACTCAATTTTATTCCACTGATCTATATGACTTCTTCATACTTTTTCTAACTTCTGTTCAGAGTGCTTTATCTGCCCTCTCCACCTGGCAAATTTCTACTTCATGATTCCTCTACCAAAAGCCTTCTTTTCTTTTTTTTTTATAAATTTATTTATTTATTTTTGGCTGCGTTGGGTCTTCATTGCTGCACGTGGGCTTTCTCTGGTTGCAGTGAGCGAGAGCTACTCTTCGTTGCGGTGTGCAGGCTTCTCATTGTGGTGGTTTCCCTTGTTGTACAGCACGGTCTCTAGGTGCGTGAGCTTCAGTAGTCATGGCATGCGGGCTCAGTAGTTGTGGCTTGCGGGCTCTAGAGTGCAGGCTCAGTAGTTGTGGCACACAGGCTTAATTGCTCTGTGACATGTGGGATCTTCCTGGACCAGGGATCAAAATTGTGTCCCCTGCATTGGCAGGCGGATTCTTAACTGCTGCTCCACCAGGGAAGTCCCAAAAGCCTTCTTTTCTTCAGCAGATCTTGTGCATAACTCTGCGTACTTACAGCATAGTGCTCATCACTTTTTTGTGATATAATATGTATATATATAACTATTTATCCTTAGTAGTTAGTAAGCTTTTACAGGGTAGAGACTGGACCTTTTATATCTGAATCCCAGAACTTGAGCACAGTGCCTGACATGTGGTGTGCTATTAATATACTATAGGGGAAATAATAGGGGCAGTACTGAATTTTGTTTGAATGTGTTCATTTCAAGGTGCCATCAGGACATCCAGGGGCTAATATTCAATAGGCGTTTTTATTATTAATTGAAATTTGCTTATACTTTTAATTTTTTTATTTACTCATTTGTCAAATATTTACTGTATGCCTCTCATGTGCCTGGCATGGTACCAGGCTCTGGGGATGCAGTAGTAAACAGAACAGCACCCTGCACTCATGAAGCTTTCATTTTAGTAGGGGAAACAGACGATATACAAATAGTCTGAGACAGTTGGCAGTAAAACCAGCAGGGAAATCTAGAGATTGAAGGAGAGGTTGAGACTGGCAATAAAGAGTTTGGAATCATCTTCAAAAGGTGATAGTTGAAAATATATAATAATGGATGGAATCACCAAGAGATTGAACATATAAAAACAACAGGACTGCAAAGAGAACCTTGAGAATGTCCAAATTTGTGGGAAAAATAGTCTGAGAGGTAAAAAAAACAGAAGAGTAGAATCCTGGAAACCAAGGGAAAAGAGAAGGCAAAAAAATATATAGAACGGTGAAGGAGAATTAAAACTAAGAAAGAACCATGGGTTCCAGTTGTTAGATAGTCATTAGTAGTCTTAAGAATTAAGTTTCAGGGGAATTGCTGGAGCCAGTTTTTAAAAGATTGAATCCTGAAACTTTTTGAAACAGTGGAACTGTGCCATGGTTTTTTCTTACTCCTTTTTTTTTTTTAAATATGTATTTATTTACTTGGCCGTGCCGGGTCTTAGTTGCGGCATGCGGGATCTAGTTCCCTGACTGGGGATCGAACCCGGGCCCCCTGCATTGGGAGCACGGAGTCTTAACCGCTGGACCACCAGGGAGGTCCCTTTCTTACTCCTTAATGCTGTATCCATAAATGAAGAATTTAAATGTATGTATTTAGATGTTATTCATCCCTGTTCTTAGCCCTGTGGGGGCTTCATTTTTTTTTTTTTTTTTCCTGAGAGACCTGAAAACTTATTCCATAAAGAATCTCTCAGGCTCGTTAGCCACTTAATTTCTTTCATTTTGAAAGCCCTTATAGCTTTTAATTCCATCATTTCTGCTATCAGAATATGTTCGTCTTCTTGGATCATTTGTATAAATAGTTGCCCTGTATACATATAGATAGTTGAATATGATAAACTAATGTGTAACTTTTTTTTTTAATAGTGACAGAAATGTTGGTAAATGTTCTGAGTATTTGCTCTGATGATGAACTTATGACTGAAGGAGAAGACCAGTTTGATGGTATGACTATTCATTTTACTGTTTTTTATTGTGAAATAGAATCTTTTAACTGCCCAGCTTTAATATACTCTTGTAAAATATAGTCATTGCTCTCAAATGGCTATGCTATTTGATAAGTGACAAGTCAGTTTTTCAGATATTATTTAAGATTTTAAAATCATTTTAGTAATTTTTTTTTTTCTGTTGGTATGGGGAAGAAAATGAATTTAAGGAAAGGGGAAATCTGGAAGAAAGAACAGAAGGAAAGGAAAATTGAAGTGCTAATAGAATGTGGTTCTTCATGAATATGGACACTACTTAGAGAAGGGAGGATAAAAATGCTTTTTTTTCCTTGGTACTGTATTCTTAGTGCATCAGAAACATACCTGAATACCCAATGCCGTTGTCACTTCTTCCTTTGAAAACTCAAAGTAAGCTGTTCTCAATTTATGAGTGGTTATGTTCTAAGAGACCACTTGTTAGTTTAGTTTAAAATTCAGCAAGCATTTTTTCCATACAAAGTTATACATGGTTGTTAGTTCTTATGTAAGCCAACCAGCCTATGTACCTAATGCACATTTATAGTATAAACTAATACGATAGAAACAAAATTACTTTTATTTTTATGTTCTGAAATTTTTATTTAGAACTTAAATTTAAATATTTATATTAATTAACTGAATGAACAAAAACATAAACAGTTTGTAAGCTGAAAACTCTTTATTCCCTTCAATATGCCCCTCACATCTTTGTTGCAGCATACTTTTCATAGTTTTAATTAGCATATAAATGTTTCCATGTATTAAACATGGTCTACATATTGGTAAAATTCAATACCTACATATTTCTAAGTATATCAATATACCATAATCTTTGTAGTTAATATTATATTGTTTGGCATTTGGGTTGCTTTAAATTATCTTTATTATGAATAGCATGCAATAAACATTCATACAATAGTTTTAATTTTCCTTCTTGGAATAAATTTCTTGAAGAGAATTACAGAGTTAAAGAGAATGAAGAGTTTTAGCTTCATTATTTTAGCTATGAACTGCCAGATTACTTTGCATAAAAATTGGACCAATATGAAGTGTTTCTAGCAATGAATCTATAGACCTGTATTTCTTCACAGGCCCACCTAATTGGGTTTTGGTTGTTTTTACTTATTTTGCTTGGTGGCTATAAATTACAGTTGGTTTAATTCACATTTCTTTGAATTCTCATGATGCTAAGGGAGAAATTACTATCTGCTTTGCCAACTATGTAAACTGTCCCTATCAAGTGACCATTTAACAAGTAAAATCTGAGTAAAAACTGTTTAGAAATTTCTCTACTTACCAACAGGTTTGATTCTTACCCACAGTTTTAAGTCCATTTGTTGAAAGCACAAAGTGACTATATACAAGTGTCTGCTAGTGCCATCTGTTGGTGGCAGGCAGGGATGTGCTTTTACTCTGGTTTATAGTTTTGTTCATTGAAATAAATTAACTTATATCAGTTCTTTTTTTGTTTGGATAATAAGATTTAATGAATAATATTAATTTTTCCTTATTTTAATTCTCTGTGATATTTTGTAGAAGCTTTTAGTTCTAACATATTTCATCATATCTGTCTTTTCCATAAAATTTTTAAATAGTTTTAATTAAATATTTATTTTCCGTGTTCTGCAATCACTGTTGTAAGACTAGTTCTGGGTTCAGATTCTAGTTCCTCATAATGGCTGTGTGACCTTGGGCAAGTTACTTAACCTTTCTGAGCCTCAGTTTTTTAATCTTCAAAATGAAGATAATAGTTCCTACTTCATAATTTTATAGGTATTGATGTAATGATCAATAATATAATGAAATCATTTTTGTACATGTTCCACTCATTTTTTCAATAGAGTTTTCTGTTTGTCAAATTCTGTGAACTATCTAGTAGGAGTTTTAATTGGTGTTACATTAAATCTATATCTGAATCTAGGAAGTTTTTAAAAAATATTTAATTTTCTAATCTAAGATCAAAATCTCTTGCTCTATATAATTAGTTCATTTACTATAATTACTCCTTTTAATATATTTAATATATAATTATTTGAAATTATATAGTTTTTCTTTGGGAAAAATCTGTTATTACCAAGTTAAATTAATATTTCAGTGTTTTATGTTCTTATTACTATTGCAACTGGTATCTCTCTTATATTTTCTGACTGTATAAAGGAATTATATGTTTGTGGGTTTATCTTATGTTCAACAAGTTGGATCAGCAGAATTACTTCCTACGGTAATTTTTGTTTTCCTTCACTTTAAAAAATATGTCATTTGCATAAGGCTGATATTATTTATTTTCTACATTTTTACCTTTTATTTCTTTTTCTTCAAAAATTTTGTATCTGGGCTTCCCTGGTGACGCAGTGGTCGAGAGTCCGTCTGCCGATGCAGGGGACACGGGTTCGTGCCCTGGTCCGGGAAGATCCCACATGCCGCGGAGCGGCTGGGCCCGTGAGCCATGGCTGCTGAGCCTGCGTGTCCGGAGCCTGTGCTCCGCAACACGAGAGGCCACAACAGTGAGAGAGGCCCGCATACCGAAAAAAAAAAAAAAATTTGTATCAATATTGTTAATAGTGTTAAATAGGAGTAGTGATAGGTGATGCTTTAGTCCTCTTTCCATAGTAAAAAAGGAAAAAAGTTTCCTTGTTAAGTCTAATATAGTACTTGGTTTAGATACTGATGATTTATAAGAAGATAGATACTGAATCATTTTTTGGAATTCAACCAGAAGTAAATATAAAATTTTATTATATTCCTTCTAATGAGATTTTATGTATCTTATCAACATTTTTCCTATTAATGATAAATTATGCTTATTTATCAACTTGTTATATCATTCTTACACTCCAGAGATGAATCAAATTTGATCATTAAAGAGGCACTGTAGTTTAGTGAAAAGGATCAGTGGTTCAGGTGTCTTGGTGCTACCATTATACTAGCTGTGTAATCTTGGGAAAGTCACCCAACTTCTCAAAATCTTCTCTTCCATAGATTGAGGGAATAGAGAGGATGAAAATTCTTTCCCACTCTTTAAGTAATTTAAAAAATTATGACAATGTTTCTATGGGAAGATACACTGAGTTCCAGCTTTGAATACTAGAAATAGATCTCCCTTCACTGCCAACATGGCAGGTGCAATTACTCCACATTTATTCACCCTTACACTACCAAGTATTAAAAGCAGGGACGCCAAGAAATTTTTTTTTTTTTTTTTTTGCGGTACGCGGACCTCTCACTGTTATGGCCTCTCCTGTTGCGGAGCACAGGCTCCGGACGCGCAGGCTCAGTGGTCATGGCTCACGGGCCCAGCCGCTCCGCGGCATGTGGGATCTTCCCGGACCGGGGCACGAGCCCGTGTCCCCTGCATCGGCAGACGGACTCTCGACCACTGCGCCACCAGGGAAGCCCAAGAAAATTTTTTGAATATGGGTATGGGAGTTTGCATCAAGGAATGAGAGTGGCTTGGGGGAGAAAGAACCTTGAGGAATGGAGGAAAGGGGGGGAGTTTAGGATAGATACTAGGATGGGATAGGGAAAAGAGCTACTAGAACTACATTTGTTTCCCTTTCTTACACATATTCCCTTATTTCTTCCCCTTAACGCTGTCTTTTCTTCTTTCCTTTGAGCATGATAGCATACCTTCTCTCCTCTCCTTCCCCTTTTCCTACTCAGCAGTGGAACCATGTTATGGACTGGGCCTGGGAAGAAATCTGACTTAGAAAGAAAACTTGTTGGGTTGGGGATTGCTGTGGAGACACAATAAGGGTTTAGCTTTTCTGTGGGGGAAAGTAAAGAACAGGATTGGACATTTCCCACTGGGAGGAAGGAAAGAGTAGATTTTGCATATTCAAGGCTGAAATTGGCTAAAGGAATAAGACTCTCTTTCTTCTTAAGTGATGGCCTTTGGTATTCTGTATTGTTTAATGTACATGTGGGTTTATTTTTAAAGGCAAAAATTTGCATAAACATATTGCATGTGTAAATGCACATAGTGTTCCTTTTAGAGGTGTTATGTAATCATTAAAGGGAATTTTTGAACACTGATTTCTATGATATTTAGAATGCATACTGTTTCTTTCAGTTATTTATCTTTTGTCTTGAGTTTGGTAAAGGAAATACATAATCCATATGTGTTATAGTTTTACTAAACTAAAACTTTGCATTTCCTATAATGGAATCATGTATCTCAGCATTAGAATGGAAAGCTCAAATGAGACATCTCTGCTGCCTACTCTAAGAGCTATTACTTGCTTTGAAACAATCTGTTGCTATTTGTGCAAAAAGATGTCCCTAAAACTCCCAGATTGGACTGGGAACAGACAGCACATACCGTTGATCCTGAGTATGTGCAAAAGTTCCACAATTCTGATTCAAGAAATTGTGTGCTCTTGTTATTATGGAGTGTGGGAGGCTTAGCCTTTCCTTTATTGGGAGTGGGTAAGGTTTTCCACTGAGGTAGTTTATAAAGTTACCTACATTTCTCTGTGTATGCTACAGATTTTGCAGATGTTGGTGTCCTTGAAGAACCACATGAGTTTGTATCTCATTTGTGTCATTACCTTTCACTTAACATACTTCCATGGGTGACACATTTCCTTAAGGGTATTAATATAAATGTGCGATTGTTGTTAGCACAGTCTTTTATCAGTCTTATGTGTTTTCACGTGTTTTTTTCTGTCCCTAATTTGTCTACTTTCATCAAATATTATAGTCATTCTGTCCATAATTTCTTCTGAACACATATCTTTTAAGAAATCTTTCCTTTAGAGCTCTACCCAGTGGCATACCTCCTTTATTTGCCAGATCTTACAGTACTACATTTTTCAAATTTCAAATATGAGGACCTTCATTTTTCTCCCTTTCTTTCTACATTCATTCTTCAGTACCACTGCCAAGTTAAATCTCTATCTTTTTATTTGTCTCAACCACCTTTTCTCCATCATTCACTTCCTTTTTTCTGGACTCTCCATCTGAAGAACGGCTCATATATGGCAATAAAAAAGGTACAGACCAGACAGAGTAACATTGTTTTGAAATATGACTTCATAAGTTATTCTCATGTCCATGTAAGTTTGTGTATTCATTAAGTATACTTATGCAGAGTCCTCTTGGGCCTTGTGCAAATTTAGTTTAAGTTTTATCTAAGTTAGAATTTGACGTTTTTAGAAGTCATATTCCAAGATATCTGTCTTTCTGTGCATGGAAATATTTTTCCCTCTTTTTCATTCCTCTTGTTTTAAAATTTCATTCTTTTGCTTATTTGTAATGTTTTGTACTTTTCCCTGCATGACTAGGGGTGTTTGATTGTCTGTCTGATTCCCCAAAGTAATTTTACTGTGGACATTTACTTTAATATTATGCATGATGTGTTTGTAGACTGATTTAAAATCCTGATTTGTAAAGTGTTTTTATATTCCAGTGAATTTTTAATTTGAAATCAGTATAGTTTACATATCATTCAGTTTTATAGATATATAAATTAAGGCTGAAAATGTGAATGTATCTCATTACAGCCATCCTCCCCCATCTCTGTACTCCTCTCCCCCAGTCTGGCTATTTCAAAAATTCTGTCAATTTTAAAACAAAATATATTAATTTATTTGAAGAGAATCAGACTTACCCTGTGTCCTTGGACAAGACACTTAGTAAAGTTAGTTTCTTTGTCTATAAAATGAGGAAATTGAACTTTGCAGTATCTCTAATGTCTTCAGATTCCAATATTCTATGATTTTGAGATTTTAAGTAATTTTTTTGGCATCTTAAAAATACCTGTGTAGTACCATGGACCTACACAGTTTTGGATTTGTAAAAGCTATAGCTTCAGCACTCATAATATTACACTTAGAGCATCATAAACATGGTTGTGGAGCCTATTTTCTCTAAAATATGTCTTTTGTTTTCATCTTTGAAATTGGATCTTTTTTTCTGTTTCCTTGCAGTAAGGTCCAGTCATCATCTTAGTTTTTAATTATATGTATTTGTGGACTGCTTGAATTTTAAATAAGATGCTCTAGCCCAAAAGACTTTTGGTTGTTCAGACCTCTGTGTACCTAAGGCCCCTTTTGGTCTAGTGTCTTTAGCCTTTCCTTAACCTTCTCCTCAACCACGGTGCTTCCATATGTTTGTTTTCATCATGTTGAAGCACAGTTCTAAGGAACCACACTCCTGGGTCCAGAGTGATTCTAGTTGCCGTATATGAAATAACAGGACTGAGATTGTTGTTGTTCTTTCTGGAGGCCAAGGGAAGGAAGATAACAACGTTTGAGTCTTTATTCAGGCAAAGATTCAGTTATTTTGATATATTCTCTTCTGTATCAGTGATAGGCAGTGCAGCTAACCCTTTGGAGATGAAGCATTAGTGATTCTTTAGCCATGATTTTGGGGAGTCTTTTCTCATTGCTCACTCTCCTTGTGTCATACTCACCTAGGGATGTAAAAGCTTGTATATATTTGCATGACCTTAGAGGACACCTAGTCCATGAGGTTGAGATGTACATTGTTGAAATGCTGCTATGGTCCCTCGTTCTGGGTCACCTGCCCAGTAGTCGCTTCATATCACTGTTTTCAGACCAACTTTGAGCAAGGAAGCTTCTTTTGTCATAGTATGATGGGATATTTCCAGCCTGCATGTCAAAGGCTTTTATGATAATCAAACAGAAGCCTAAAGGTTGTGACCAGTTCTAGTCTGCTAGCCTGCATGCCATAGGCTCTCATGAGAATTAAACAAAGACTGTAGAATTGTTACCATTTTTTTGTCCTCTGGTTTGTGATACAGGTTGGACTCTAGTTTCTTTCCCATTGCTGTTTTACTGGTTAGTCAGTAGTGTGAGAGTGATAAAGTTGGCTGATTACTTTTCAGTTGTATTTGTGTCAGATCCCAGTATTAGACCAGTGCTGAGCTAAACATTGAAAGAGAAGCTTTTGGGCATGAGTTCATCTAGTTTCTTCCATGTGAGCTGGTGGCGAGGGGCTTGGTGTTGGTTCAGATGAGAGTGAAGCAGGCTAATAGAATGGTACAAGTATGGATGCCCTAAACTTGAGTCTTTCTTTCTATTTATTCCATTGAAAGTAGGTTCAGCTGCAGCCCGGAAAGAAATCATAAGAAACAAAATTCGAGCAATTGGCAAGATGGCAAGGGTCTTCTCTGTTCTCAGGTAATGATATATTTTCCCAATGATTTGTTTTACAGAAATCACTTTTATTATACTTTATTATAAGCGGTGTCCTGTTTGATATCTAAAAGCAATATAGTAGCATTCTTTCTATAAAGAAGTTGTATACTTACATGTTGAAGAGGGGAACACAGGTCCCTTTGAAACTAGTATTTTTGACCCTTGTGATTATTATTGTTCACCTTTGGCATCTCTTGTCCTTCTGTGATGAAAGTATTAGATCTACACCTTAAAATTAGAGCATAATAAGGAGGAGGGGGCACATTTTAGAGTGTTCCTGATGAACTTGCTCATCTATAAAGGAAGTCCTTTTTGCTGGAGTCACAAATTGTCTTCCTGGGGTTAATTCAGGAAGACCAGGTTTAAGGGTGCACATGAATGGGTTAGTCCTTAAAAATTTGTTTGCAAAACTGCTTATATCAGACATGAAATACCATATTTTATCAATATTATGATACCCATTGGTGATGAATCTCACCACATATTTAATAAAGCTTTTCAGGAAGAACAATATATGTCTCAGTTATACGGCATACCCTCATATCTGAAACATTTAGAACGTGGAAAAATATATATCTTGGAATTGAGGAAAATATGGTAATAGCAATGAATGTCATAAGTTACATACATGGCCTACATCTGGGCCCCATCTCCTCTTTTAACCTAAGTACTTGTTGGAAGTCTCTGATCTTTGTTATATCTCTCTGCTATAGGGAGGAGAGTGAAAGTGTGCTGACACTCAAGGGCCTGACTCCCACAGGGATGTTGCCTAGTGGAGTGTTAGCTGGAGGACGGCAGACCCTGCAAAGTGGTAATGATGTTATGCAACTTGCTGTGCCTCACATGGACTGGGGCACACCTCACTCTTTTGCTAACAGTACACATAATGCATGCAGGGAATTCTTTCTGCTTTTTAGTTCTTGTCTCAGCAGCTGATACAAGCAGAATACTATATGATAGGTAGTGTCTGATTAATAACCTGACCAGGCCAGAAAATGATACAATGGGTATTCCTTTCAATTGAAAATAATGATCGGTCTCTCAGCTTTTCATGAAATGATATGGGAATAACTCATATCATAATGTCTGAAATATTTATTCGTTTGTCTAATGCACCATTTTCTTTTTAAAGCTTCAGTTTCAGAATGTGAATCAAGGATATCCATATTACTTAAATGGAAATGTAATTCCAAGTTTCTTATTTTTTTATCTTTCTAATTTATGTAATTGTATTAGACTGTGCTTATATTTTCAGATGTTAATTTTAGAATTAACAATCTGCTTGAGCCCCAGAACATTACTTATGCACTTCACTTGCCAAAACATTTGTGCAAGGTTTTGTACCCTGGTAAATGATGCCAAAGTTTGTTTTCTGTGGTGTTTGTCAAATGTTCTATGTATAATTGACTGTCTGTAACACGCTGTTTCCTTCCTCTGCAGATGTAGCTGCTTTCCTAAATCTGTCTGTCTCTCTTTAGGTTAGCTGTATGTCTGTAAAAGTATGTTAAGTTAAATTACTCTATCAGACACTTGTCTGTCTTGATGTAGAAGCAACTTTGTAGCACCTTGTTTTGAGGTTTGCTGCATTGTTGCTGTACTTTGTGCATTCTGAACATGAATGTAACATTAGATATTAAGTCATTGTTATAAGGGGTGGAATTTAAATCCTGTAAGTCAAAATTGAAAGGGTGTTATTAAGTGTGCCTTTATTTTGCATGAAAATAAAAAGAATTATACGTAAAGCATTCCTGTAATCTGGCTCATTGAATATTTTATATTAAAAAAAAAACTTAAGTTTTTTTGGAGTAAGTATTTGTGTAAATACTGGGTTAACTTTTTGAAAGCCCATTACAGATTAAATAGAAGAAAGTGATGTGAATGTTATAGACTATACCCAATAACTGAAAGTCTAGATTTCTTTCCCTTGTGGTTGGAAAGCAGAAAATGTGATATGTAAAGCCTTAATTTATGTTTTATTGTAGTCACTTTTGACAGCCCTCCAAGGGTCATTGTTGTATTAAAACAGGAAGCAACAGATCTGATATCTTCTCAGTCATGTTTGGTGTTGTAATTAGTCAAATTTTTAAGGCAAAAAAATAGGAAATTTTAATTTTAAATTTTGAATAAATTTAAATTAGATCGACTTTTCACAATTTCATTTCACTCGGTCTCATAATAAATGCTTAAATAAATAAAAAGAATTTTTCTGTAGACAAATAATTTCTACTTGTAGCCTATACATGTTCTATTTATATGTTATTGTGTTGTCTGCTACCACTACTGGTATATGTGAGATATATAAGTATGTTTTGAAATTATAGCTTCAAATTTTCATTTTGAATGAGGTTTCTTTTTTGATTTAAAAAAAATCTGCTTTGATTTTCTTTATATTTCTTGCCCTTCATTTTTCTTATTATCTTGTAAACATTAGGAAAATGAGCAAAAAATAATTTCATTAAAACAAATTAAGACCTTAAACATTCAATAAAACTAGCAAGAATGTTAATAAAAAAGGATGAATTTTAATAACTTGAAAAATGCCATATCCTTCCTCCTGTTTGTTCAGTAAAGGAAAAGAAAACCGGAAGGGTCTCATACTTAAGTAAATCTAAACTATGGTCATCTCTCAGTTATCCTTGGATATTTTGTTACTTTTATGTTGTATCCACAGCAAACCTTTCTTTCAGATTTTGCAATTAGTGCCTGCTAATTACATGCTTTGTTGAGAGCTCAGCACATCTATTTATTCTTAATTTGCATGCAGCCTGAAGCTCAGTCTTCCAACTTTGAAATCACCCCCAACTGCAGGGAAGGATTGAAAGACAGCTTTACTGAAGGGACTGTCTATTCCCGGCGTAGAGTGAGTTACTGGATGGTGCTGAGCTTAAGGGGTCCGATTTGGGAAACTAGATAGCTCCCTAGCTCTGCCAGCAATGGATCTTGATCGTGTGGTTTACATTTGGTTGAAGTGATTTCTCTATCATAAGACAAACCCATTTTGAAACAAATAACAAAACTCTTACAGAAGTATGATCACCCATGTGATTTTTAAAAATTTATGTAACATTTAAAATTTTAGTAGACATGACCCCTGACATGAATACCTGAGAGCTAAGTATTGCAAAAAGAAAGTTTTAAAATTCTAAGACCTCCGTCCTATTCTCAGAAAATAGAAATTGTCTCATCAATAACTTTACAGTTAATTTATGATATTTCTCAAGTGTTTTTACAAACTGCATAACTCTGTTGGAGTAGGATTTGATAATCATATTTTATGTGCATTTTCTTCTTGGAAGTTTGATTGGGAGCTAGCCGTTATAATGCTACCTTCATGAGGACCTATATGAGAAAATATGTGGCCATCTATATTATAGTAAGGTCAATTCCTCTTGATCACTTATCCTGTGTAGTATTGAGGAACACAGTCTGAAACAGCATTACACTCAAACTTAGTAAGACCATGTCAAGATGCCCCATAAAACTGAAAAAAATTGAGGAAAAATAGTGCTTTTCAGATAGAATTTTGCAATTATCAGATCTCTTTCTTTCCAGCTTAATATGTAAGCTTAAGATGATCTTCTTTGAATTCTAAGCATTCAAGCTTAACATGGTATGCAATTTTGAGTGTGATGTACATTTTGTGTCCTGAAAAGCATTTAGGAGCATTTAGAGGCCTTGGGAAAGAGCAGAGAATATAAATTGACCTAGAAAATGCATATAAAATTAAAAGCCCCCAAAAGTGTATTGTCATTTTCATAATTTGAAAAAAATTTTTATAGACTTTAAAACTATTGACATACTAAAATAGATACTAATTCTTACAGTGATAATCAGTTTTTTATTTTTAATTTATTACTATATATAAAATACAAATTATGAAATATCTCATATAAAATCACTTCTGTTACCACAAGCTCTTTAAAATGTAGATTCTGATAGGTATTTTATTTTTCCCTATTTAATTTCTAAATTATAAAGAAAATAGTCCATGTTTTGAAGAATAGGAATTCCAGGGCTGATCCAGTAGAGGTGGGTCGTTTATCCCAGTTTTCTGTCTGGACAAATTCCAAGAGTATTTTCCAAGTGTACAGGGCTAGATTTTTTAAATGGTGATTTAAATAAGTACAGTGGGTATACAATAAGTATATCTGCTTTAATTTGTAATATGATTTAACAGTGGAGAAAAATTAATTCTTCCTTTATTCAGTGTTTATGCTCCTTTTTTGGGGGTCCCCACTTTACTATCTGATTGAGATTACAAACATCTAATTTAGCCTTCTTTAATTCCTTAGATTCATCAGTGTCCTTTCACATTAATAACTGCTTTGGATAAATTTTATTATTTCTAAATCGTGTACTGCTAAAAGTTCATTTTAGGAGTAATTATTCTAATTGGCCTTATCATTGAAGAAGCAAAGTAGAAGGGATGGAACATTATCAATATTATGAGTTTGTGCACTTTGGGTAAAGTAAGAATTGAGACTTGGCAGTATTATCAGGCAATAATGTCCTCTGCAATCTTTGGTCCTGGTCCTCAGTGTGTGAGTGCTTTATACAGTTTGAACCCAGAAATGAACCAAAAGAATCTTTGACTACAAAAATATGTATGACTAAATATGTTGAAATTCTCTAAATGGGCCAGAGACAAGCTATACCAAGAATGTATTTCTCATTTATATGACCTATATGTATGTCCATATCATGAAATGAATAGGATTTATTGCCTGTAAGACCTCAGTTCTCTCTCTTGATTCCTCTCTAGTTGGTAGATGGGCTTGAAAACATGCTCAGTAGCCTTCTTATCGTCACTTGAGGCTGTTAGTACCTGAGGTAGATTTGAGTTCGTGATACACTGAACATAAATGGATTTTTATATATGTTACATGTTGATATCTTTAGATATCTTTAGATATTTGGAACACCAGTTATAATAGAAAGGACGTTTCTAGTAGATAAGAGGAGTCCTTTTAGATTACCCACAGAGGACAGCACTATGGAACTGTTCTAATTAGAGTAATTCACCAAGTTTACTGACCATAAATTTCATTGTAGCCATACCAACTTTTGCAGCTTATGCTTTGCCCTATGAATTAGAAGTGACAGGAAAAGCTTTGCTGACCCCTTCTAGTTTATATCTTAGGGAACCAACTGGTGATAAGTATTATTTCAGTTAGACATGAAAGAAAAGAATCTCATTCTGTTTGCTCTGCTGCAATTCTACCATCATAATTTCACTCTAGAGAATTTCCTTGTGATTGTGATGGATGTGACATAATAAACATGTTGGAAAATTCTAACGTCATCAAAATACTGAATTCAAGATGGGTAATTAATACTAGTGTGCATTTGCATGGATGCTGAGGTGTCTGTGTTTACAATAGGTCTATGTGTTCTGTGCTCTGAGCGATGGTGTCTTAGTGCTGTGTGTAAACTGTGCTGTGTCAGGAATTGGGGGATTGGATGGGGCTCTCTAATACGGGTACTATATATGTTAAATTGTAAATGATAATGTAGTATGGGGTACTGTTATATTTTAAGTAATCATTGCCTTTTCTGCTGTACGATATGACCCTTCTCATCTCTCTCATTCATTTTGCATGCCTCTGCTCACTTCTGTACAGCCACAGTTGAGGCTATTGAGGCTGAAAAAGGTACGATCAGAGTCCTTGCACTGGGCAGAGATCTGTGGTGTGTGGGTGGGCATCAGAGAATGTCCTGTGGGTGTGTCTTACTTCTAGCTTGCACAGTCCAAGATGAATCAGACTCACTGACTCATCAAGTTTAACAGTCATATCTTTTTCTTCTTCTTCTTTTTAAATCACAAGGACTGAGTTCCATAGTGACAATTTGGTTTTTTTCCCTTTTCTAGTATAGTAATGCGACCAGCATTTAATGTTCCAGAATTCTTTAGAGTACAGCATGTTATGGTATAATATTATAGCATTTACAGTTGCAAATAAAGATCTGTTCCATATTTTGCATGATTCTGTGCTACTCAGATTTTTTAATTCTGAAGTGAAATCCTCTCTAGATGTAGGTTTGGTATACTCATGATATAAAAATGACATACTCATTTTCAGTAATTCACCTGAGAGTGCAGAGATGTCACTATGATTTTGTGCTGCAGTCTGGACTAGTGTTTGCTGATAATATTACATCCGTGTATATCATGTATTGGGTTGGTATTCCACGTTGCTGAAAGCTTTGCTGCCCCAACCCCTTACTTGGTTCACATGCACAGACTCTGAGTCCCAGGGATTGCATATTAAAGCAACCAAATTATAACCAATAGTATGGAAATTTTTTTAATGTACATTTTAATAATAGAGGATACATCACTCCAGATGAAGTGAATGAGAAACCATAACAATTGGAGGAGGATTGCCGTTTATTTTGATTTGGGTTTCCAAAGAACAGGCAGTGAATGGCCAGTGAATTAAGGAAAACATATCCTAAAATATGGAACTATAAATACATTTTACAATCTGCCAAACACAGATCTAACTCCTGGAGGCATTTCCTACCTTTTTCATTTCATATTGGTGGTAATGGGGCGATAATACCTTGACCTCCAAGGTAGTTCTGATCTGCTAAATTTTAACTTTCTTTTCTTCTCCCACGCTCTTGGTACAGATTTGTATGTTGAGGATTAACCTTGTTTAGCCTCCTCACTTGCCCCTACTCTTGTTGCTGCCTTACTGTGATAGTCACTGGTGATCTTAGGGCCTGAGGTAGGAGATAATTGATGTAGTAGAAGTCAGGTTGAGACCCTGAGACCATTGCCTGGAGGTCTTGGGGGCAAGGGAGGATTATTTTTGTGTGTGTGTTTTTTTTTAAGGCTATGTAACACTTGTCTATGAAGCTGTCATGTTTATATTTAGGTTTAAACATTTCACATTTTTAAGGGGAAATCTAGAATGGGGATAGGCTTCAGTTAAAGTAAGATTTAAATGTTGCTATGTACAACTAATTTCTTTCTTCTTAAAAATCATTAATTATGTTTTTGAAATCTCAGAAATGTTTTTCAATTACTGACTTATCAAATTTGCATTTTGTTAAGCAATACGAGGATTCTCTCCACCACATAGAATCTGCAGTTTTGAAGAGGCAAAGGGTTTGGATAGGATCAATGAGAGAATGCCACCCCGGAAAGATGCTGTACAGCAAGATGGTTTCAATTCTCTGAACACCGCACATGCCACTGAGAACCACGGGACTGGCAACCATGGTGCCCAGTGACCCACGGCTTCCCAGGGACTCTCACAGCTCGGGCCCCAAATGGACAGATCACCCGAGGAGCTGGAGGGGTCGGTCAAGCTGACTGTAAATGTCACAGTCCCTCTGGAGAAACCATTGTGCTTTTGAGACCCCAGCCCCCTTCCTGGATGGAGGCTTGAGGGCCCTGGGACATGTTGTGCTATCTGATAAGATTGGGTCATCGCTGCCAAGGTGGAGAGCAGTGAGCAAGGGGCTTGGGGCAATTTCCAGTGGAGGGCAACTACACCTCCATTTATGCTTGTGGTTCACACATTTAAGTTTACAAATGAGATTTCTTTTTCCCCTCAGTAGAATTAGATTTTGTTTTTCAACCATAACTTCAAATACAATCCTAAGAGATAATGTGGACTTTTTTTTTCCCCCATGAAATGTCTTTAAAGGATGAGTTAGCATGGTCTTAAAATACATTTCCGAGGTTACTAAGCTGTGTTTTGAATTATGGGCAAAATGCTGAGAAACCCAGTTGGCATTTATACAAAATGCTGACCTCAGGTCTGTCATTCCTAAATGTGGCTAATTCTGTAATATAGTCTTGGTATTTTTCAATTATGAATGCATAACCTATTTCTAGGCAGACTCTCTTACTTGTACACAAATCCAAAAACTAATTTAGAATCTTTCTTGCCCAGATCTTTTGAGATTTACACCCCAGAGATTTAAGAAGAAAATTTCTAAATTTCAGAATTATGAAGAATTACAGAATTACTCATTTAAGGTACTTTAAAAGAAGTTTGTACATTGTCAAAGTAAATTTTAATTCAAATCATGTCTGTAAAACTTGACGTATTTTGTGTATGCATGTTTTCATTTTGCAAATATTTAATATATAGACCTATGATGTACAGGTACGACATGTATAGGTTACCTAGATGTTATGAGAAATTTTAGTTTACTGTGAGTACTCAAGTTGCTTAAATAGCCACCAGGGTGATTTACTGCTGGCTTTCTATCGTTTTATGTTTTGATGCAAAGGAAATTTTAAAATGTTCTGGAAGTGTTTTTGATTAAGCAGTGCAGCATAGAAGCAACAGTTCTGTTCAGTCATTCAGATGTTAGTGGAAGCATAAAAGTCAAGACTGCATGTTGAACATTTTCTTTTGATAGTTACAGAACTGCTTGGTTAGACTAAATGGAACCATGTGCTAATTTTTCACAATTACTGACCTGTATTGATTGCCACAGTAGTTTGGTATTTCCCTTTACTTTGGTGGCCTGCTTCCCTCATGCCCTGGAATACAACTCAGAGCTCCAGGCAGCGGAACCATCTATTGTTTGTTTGCCAGAAAGTGCACCCTGTATGGTCTCCTTTCTAAGTTGGAAATATTATGCATGTGCAGGACTATTTGAGTATTTTATAAACAGTAGCACACAATAAATTCCATGCATGGGCCGCTGCTCCTATCTCTGTGTTGGGTTTTATTTGGAAGATGTAGTCTGATTTGACCTCATGCAAATCAGAAAATCCTGTTAGTAGAATTGGGATATTCAGAGAAAATTATCTAATGGGTAGTTCATGGTAATATGATGAATTAAATTCTTGTCTTCATAAATTTTTCTTTTTTTTTCTTTTTTTTTTTTTTTACTTTGCTTATACTTGTTTTACATGAGCATTAGTAACTGAGCACTCTGGGTGCCTATTATAGGCCTAAATCTGTTATTTAAAATCAGTGTTTCACTTAACTTTTAAAGAAAGAAAATGTTATTGTCTAGAATTTTGTTACAGTAGTATTTGGAATTTATTAAGTGTTTTAACAATAAGAAAAGAATACTGCATTTTCGTTCTTTGTCACAATCAAAATAAGTATAGAATTTTGCAAATTGAGCGAAATTTGCATATTGTTCAACATTTTATAATAATATAATTGTATAACAACTTTAATTACATTTTTCAACAATAATTATAATGATACACATTATAAAGCATTAATTTAGGGACTTCCCTGGTGGTCCAGTGGTTAAGACTTCGCCTTCCAATGCATAGGGTGTGGGTTCGATCCCTGGTCAGGGAGTTAAGATCCCACATGCCTCGCGGCCCAAAAAATAACCAAAACATAAAACAGAAGCAATACTGTAACAAATTCAATAAAGACTTTAAAAAAAAGCATTAATTTAAATTGAAGTATATATACATACCTAATTCAAGATAGCAAACAGAACTCAAATTGTTGATCATTACAGCTTCGCTTGCTGTAATATTAACTTGCATCCCAGTCCATGAGCTGCCTTTACAGTTATTATGTACTGTATACCTTAAATATTCTCTTGATGTTATTGGTCTTTGAAAACTATGCATCTCTAAATTAAGAGCTTAACTAATATATCAGGTAGCAGGAACTTCTTTAGTTCCTTAGGTCCATTACTAGGGTTATATAGTGTGTATGGGAATCATGGGTAAACATAAAATATCATTAGCAAATCAGAAGAATTAGGGTTAATGGCAAAAATTAAGAAGAAAATAAGAGGAAGGAATGGAACTCAGAAAAAGTGGTATACATGAAGAGTGGTAAAAATCACCCAGTGCCTCATAGATCCCTTCCTACTTTTTTTTTTAAATTTATTTTATTTATTTTTTGGCTGAGTTGGGTCTTTGTTGCTGTGCCCGGGCTTTCTCTAGTTGCAGAGAGCGGGGGCTTCTCGTTGCGGTGCGCGGGCTTCTCATTGCGGTGGCTTCTCTTCTTGCAGAGCATGGGCTCTAGGCTCGCGGGCTCTAGAGTACAGGCTCAGTAGCTGTGACTCACAGGCTTAGTTGCTCTGCAGCATGTGGGATCTTCCCAGACCAGGGCTTGAACCTATGTCCCCTGCATTGGCAGGAGGATTCTTCACCACTGCGCCACCAGGGAAGCCCCCTTTGTACTTGTTGAATAGGAGGCTCTTTCTAGTCTGTCTTCTAACTAGTTTCACAACGAACCATAGAAGTACTTTTAAAGGTTTTTTTTTTTTTCTTTTTTTTATGTTGGGGGTAGGAGTTTATTAATTAATTTATTTATTTTTGCTGTGTTGGGTCTTCGTTTCTGTGCGAGGGCTTTCTCTAGTTGTGGCGAGCGGGGGCCGCTCTTCATCGCGGTGCGCGGGCCTCTCACTGTCGCGTCCTCTCGTTGTGGAGCACAGGCTCCAGACGCGCAGGCTCAGTAGTTGTGGCTCACGGGCCTAGTTGCTCCGGGGCATGTGGGATCCTCCCAGACGAGGGCTCGAACCCGTGTCCCCTGCATTAGCAGGCAGATTCTCAACCACTGCGCCACCAAGGAAGCCCATTTTAAAGGTTTTTTTTTTTTTTTTTTTTTTAATGTAACTCATGATGAATGCAAATTGTGAAAAGTTCAGATCTTTCTAAATTGTAAATTTAAATGTCTACCAGAACAGTAGTAATGATGGTGAAATGTAAACTATTCAATGTCAATTTTTTTCTATATATCATCTCCCTTTATATTCAAAGATGACACTTCTGAGTTAGAAAAGACAATCTGAGTTCTTTTACCTTTTGCAGTTCAGCCATTAACAAACCTCAAAACCTTTCAATTTTCTGCCAGTTAAATTTGAAATTGGCCTGAAACCTTTGCTTAAAATGAATTACCCCTATTTTATTCAGGATTTTTGCCTGTTGCAACTGATTTTCCTTTGTCCACAGCTATTCTACATAATGTTATGTAATGTTTTTTTGCATCCTTAACACTTTTCTTCCACCTTCCCTGCTTGTAGTTTGTGCTTTCTACAGTTTGGGGTTCCTTTGGAATCCATTCTCTGCGTCTGTTCATGCATAGATTTATTTGCCACGGTCCAGGACCTTATTGCAAGTGGTTCTGTTCCCCAATTTGCTGATGTTCACAGAGGCAGGTAAGTGACATAGCTGGGGCCACATATAAGCAGCGTCAGGTCGTAGAGTCATATAGGACCACTGCACTAACAACTCTGATAGGTTCTGGAGCTTGATAGCTCTAAGTGAAAAGGAGCTAGAAATGTGGAATTAAATTCCCTGGATCAGCATCCATTACAGGAAGGAATGAGATGTTTGAGTTCTTTTCTATTTTCTCTTCCTAGAAATAGTGTGTGTTTTTGGTCTTGCTTACTTTAATATTCCAGAAAATTTTATTCCTCTTTTAAAATAAACAGGTGGAATGCCCCTGATGACATTCACTCAGAAAGTGTCTTGCTCTCCTTTCAGGGAAATTGAATTTTACAAATTAATTCTGGACGTTTCCCCTCCAATTGATTTCTTTCTGTACCATTAAATGACCATTTGTATTCTTTTCTGGGTATCATATTTGTACTTAAACCTACATTGGTCACTGTTGAGTTGTGTTTGAGCAGTGTTTGTTACGTTAAAAAGGACTTGGGCCTTGGGAGAACTCATCCTGTGTCTAGATTGACATCTAGAACTCTAGGGGTTCCTGTTCCTCTGGGCTAGTGTTTACCTTTTCCAATCAAATACTGACTTCTGAACTAATCCCAAGGGCTTTTTCCTGACGCTGTGGACTGGGAGCAGAAATGCTGCCTTAATAAGAGAGGTCCAGGAAGCAGTAAGCTTCATCTTTCCTCAGCCTGCCTGGCCTTTGGTGAGTTTGGGAGTGTTAACAGAGTTCTGAGCCTTCCTGGCAGAGAAGGAAGGTCAGAAAGAGAGAAGTCCAAGGGCAGGGCGCCAGGTCCTTATTTGCCTCGTTAGGGAGAATTCAGTGTTGTCTGTCTGGTTGGCAGGGCATACCTAATCACAGAGACTCAGCATTTCAGCAGTTTGCAAAGGAAAGTGATGTGAAGGGACAGCTGCAAATCAGCCACAACGTAGATCTGAGGAGATCAAGCATTTACTTCACTTGGAAGAAAGAGAAGGAAGGAAGCTGAGGGCTTAGCAGGGTAAGTTACTTTTCCATCAACTCCTCTGCTTGCTTAGTTTATAGTTGAGTAAAGTATTTATCACTCCAGGGAGTGTTAATCACTGATAAAGCAGCTGAATGTTGTCCTAATAGCAATGTTTCTAATGTGTTTCTCCTTTGCTTTTTCTCTTTCCTAACCCCTTTTGAGGGTCCCCAATGATGAGCTTCACTCACCCTTCTCTTCCCTACTCCCTAAAGACATTTTTTGTTTGCTGGTGAATTTGAGAAAATTAGATGGGCCTCACTGGTCTGGAGATGGTGAGAAGATGACTATGATTTAGGTGAAATTTGAGGCTGTTGGTGGTAAGGAGGGGTGAATATGGGAGACCTAGGTGTGGGGATAAGCTAGCTAATATTTTAGAGAATTTAGAGATGAAGGATAAGAGTTTTTGTAGGCCATCCAGTTCATGTCTCCTCTCCTCTCCAGTCCTTGGTGTTGGTGTTCTCTCTCTAATTAGACCCCAAGTCACTGCCTTTGTTTCTCTCAGGTCAACTCCCCACCCCCGAACTAGGAGGATACTAGGCCTCATTGCAGGAAAGTTAGAACTAGGGGGCCTGGGTACACAAACTCAGACATGAGCCTGATGATATATACAGATGCAAATGCAAAGACCTGGCTCCTCAATCCCACCTTCTTACCTTCCTGCCAGAAAATTATCCATTTGTGTCAGGAACCCACTGTAGACACAGAGGAAAATATGGCATCAGGGATTTCACCAACTTCATGCCTCCCCAAGCTGTGTGATCCCTTGACTTCCAGCCAGTTCAGCCAGTCTTCCAGTGGACTTAATCTTCCATTGGAGGAAGACCTCTCATTGGAAAGGTGGATAAGTACCTTTCTGGTCTTAACTGGCTTCCATTACAGAATAAAGGCCTTTGGTTGAATATCAGGAAGATATTTATTATTACTTCTGGAATTTAAGACTCTTGATTTATCTCAAAGATACTTTTCCTCCATACCTGTAAAGAAAAGATGAGTCCATTCTTTCAAGGTTTAAGAAGGTGGTGTCTTGCCAGAGGGGGCTGGGTAGATACAGCGTATGAGTACTTATTCTAGAATTGCAGTGGTTCTGGGAATGTGATGAGAATGTTTGGTGATTAAAAGTGGAGGAAAGGGCTTCCCTGGTGGCACAGTGGTTAAGAATCCACCTGCCAATACAGGAGACACAGGTTTGAGCCCTGGTTCGGGAAGATCCCACATGATGCAGAGCAACTAAGCCCGTGTGTCACAACTACTAAGGCTGCACTGTAGTGCCCGCAAGCCACAACTACTGACGCCTGCATGCCTAGAGCCCGTGCTCCGCAACAAGAGAAGCCACCGCAATGGGAGGCCTGTGCACCTCAACGAAGAGTAGCCCCCACTCCCTGCAACTAGAGAAAGCCTGTGCGCAGCAACAAAGACCCAATGCAGCCAAAAATAAATAAATTAAAAAAAAAAAAGTGGAGGGAAGAGCCAGGTCAGTTTTTGGAAATGGTGTCCTAAGGTTTGAAGGCAATTCCATCTACCCTTTAGGAAAGAGAGATAACCCTTAAATC